GCTCTGCAACCTTGGTCTCTTGGGTTATAGTGATTCTTGTGCCTCATCCTCCCGAGTAGCTGGGGTTGCAGGCAAGCGTCATCATGTCCAGCTAATCTTTGTATTTTTAGTAGTGAAAGGGTTTCGCCATGTTGGCCAGGCTGGTCTCGAACTCATGACCTCAGGTGATCCACCAGCCTCGGTTTTCCAAAGTGCCGGGATTACAAGCGTGAGCCACCGCACCTGGCTGGTGTTAAAACCTCATTCTGAACTGATTTTCTTAATCAAGTGGTGGTGTTATGGTGACTAGACTGTTCCAAGCTATATTCTTCTACCAACTCCCATAGGTTATAGGCACACTGAGAATAATACATCAAAATACTTCCTATTTTATCTTGGCTTTATGAGAAGGCAGTTCTTAGAAATTGAGTTTTTTGGTAGAGAGAATATGTAACATGTATTCAGGATTTGCTAAATAACTTTAAACTAGCAAGTTTAATTTTTTCAGGAAATGTATTGGCTTTACATATAAAAATGTGTTTTATAACTTTTTAAGCCTTATAGTTTTAATGCCTACCATATTTCACTTTTTAATAATTGCCTTTTGAAAAAAAATGCCATTATGAGAAATGTTCCAAAATACTCCAGATTCATCTGCCATTTTCTTTTCTTTTTTAAAAACATCTCCCTCACATAGGAACCACCTATCATTTTTAACCTGGAATTTTACAGAAATTCTGCATTGCTGCAGCCTACATTTGGCTTATAGACTTGAGCCAGAGGAATATTAAGTTGCCATAAGAGACTTTGATTACAAATAGAAAGCATTTCTATGCTGAAGATCTGGTGAGGGACAAAGTCTTCTAGTGAAGTTGCTGTGGGATATATCCGTACACATTTATTTTTTAATTTTAATTGTTAGAAGGTAGTGTTTTTTGCAGATTACTTAAACAATGAGACAGTGTTGAGCTCTGTTGTATACCTGTCTGACTTGGCTTTTTATGTGAGAGTATTAGATTTTATTTTAAAATACTGTTAAAATAGCTATAGTATGTATTGTTAAATTTTCCATTGTATTTTTTGTTTAAACAGAAAAGAGCTATGTCCTTTTATTGTGTATTTAATTGCCAAACCTACCTCTCTCTTTAATACACTCTGTTCTTATTTATGTCTCTTCATTGTAATAGCCTACAGAGACCAGTTCATTTCTGGAGATGCTATTTGTCTCTTTGTTTCTTCTAGATTTTCTCTGCTTTCGTTAACTGCTCAACTAGTGTATGAATTCAGGACTGAAACTTGGTGTTCTTACTAAGCACAACTTAGCTGATTGGATTGTCTTCTTTCAGTCTACTCATCTGGCCTAGTTTTGCTATGAGTTTGAGGATTCTATTCTGTGATGAATTCAGATCAATTGTAAGCCTAGTTAATCCTGTCTTCTCCTGAACCCTTGGAAAAAGAGTAATTCTGAGGATGGCCCAGAGGTTAATGTCAGTCTCAGGCAAGGAGAATGTAGGCTACTGTATAGATCTTTGGAAATGATCTGTAGCAAAGATAAGTTAGTTGTTCAAACTATTGTACCCTGGGCCAAACCAAAAGTGGGCCTTGCCCCATTCTCTGAGGACAAGGTGCTAGGTAGTACTGCCCTAGCATTTACCTAAAAGTATGTGTGTTGGCCATAACAAAATACCAGACTGGGCACCTAAACAACAGAAATTTGTTCTAGAAGTCCATGACAAGATCAGGCAGAGTTTGGTTTTGGGTAAGGGCTCTCTTGCTGGCTTGCAGATAGCCACCCTCTCACTTTGTCCTCGCATGGCCTTTTCTCTGTGCTCCTTGGATGGGGGTGGGGGGACCTTTCTTCTCATAAGGCCACTAATCCCATCATGAAGGCCCCATAACCTAATCCAACCCTGAGTACCTCCCAAAGGCCTCATCTTCAAATGCTGCCCTGTTAGGGAATAAGGGCTTCAATACATGAATTTTGGGGGAACACAGACATTCAGCCCATCACAATATATGTACTTTTTCTTAGTGGAATTTTTAGAGTAGCAGAGTTACCTTTCCCCCAGAAGCGTGTCAGTTTGCTTGAAGTCTAAGATATTGCGATATACTAAGTTACAAGATGAAAGACAAATATATTTCACTGAGTATGGTGGGTTTATATCTATCTATATAAGACATAGTTTCTTCCCTTGACATTTCCTTCTAAATACCCAGAATCCATCTTTTTTTCTTTCTCTAGTGCTACTGACATTTTGTTTTTCTTCCAGTAAACTTAACGATTCAAACGGAATGAAACTTGCTTGGGCTTTTATTTTGTATATGGGACATATTTGTCATGTTTTTAGAGGCAAAAAAAAAAAAGCTTGCTTTAATTTGCTGATACAGACATACATTTTACTTTAACAGGTATTTATTTTGTAATATTGATTACTACCATTGTATAGACATCTGAAGGTTATAAAACAAATGTAATTTTGTTCCTCAGCAACCTATTTGAATCTTGTAACATGTATTTATGACTCAATAAAATTTAGCTTTTATAAATTCACTATTGAGATAGTCTCCCCATGCCACAATTTCAAATAAAGGTTAAAACAAGTATTTATTCTAATAGGCTTTTCACAATTTTGTCAGATTATTTAAACTTTCACCAGCCTACCAAATGTTGAGTAGCTTCCTACACGTATGACAGTCAAATTAAGTTCTTGAGCAGCAAATGTTAGTAATATGCAGGGGAAAAGTCGTTGCTTTCTAGATTCTAGTCTAGATTAGAACTGAATCTAGATTCTAGATTTCTAGTGTAAATTAAATTCTTTCATGCTCCTGGGTAAACCTGTATGTCCAGTTTCTTATCTATTTTAGATGGCTAAACTATGATAACTAAGCTATGTTTTGAGTTTTTTGTCTCAAAGCTTTAAAATTTACTTCCTGTTTTTATAATGAAACTTTATTGAATCTCCTAAGATACCTTTTTTTAAAACTAAAATTAAAAATATATGTGACTGAAGCTATTAATGAGGAAATTTCAGTTAAATTAAGACAATCTATGTAGTGTACCTATTTTAGAAAATCTCCCAATAATTCTAGAAAGATTTATCTTCGTTTGAATTTATTTTGAAATTTTCTGTTTGCCATGTAATATCAAATGTGCATTAAATGTCTCTACAACAAGTAGTGGTTGAATTTCATTTTAAAATAATAAAAGTAACCTTAAAATAGAGATGTAATTTGTTTTTTCCTCTTAATGCTTAAAATATTCCTCTGAATTTTTCTGTCTTAGGTACCGTTGTAATAAGCTTTATACCTCTACTATCTGTCTTTGAATGAAATGATAATATTTATATTTTCAAAGTAAATTTCAGAGTTATATTTTGAGGTAAAGAATTTTTTATATCAAAAGATAAATTACTAAAAGAAGCAAAGGAGCTGATGAAATATTTAAATGCATTATTCAGAAAAAACTTCTGTTCCATGTGGTCTAGATTTACAATTCTAGTGGGTACACATTATGCCAAGGTGATCTGTATTTCTTTACTTCAAAATTATGTACTAAAAATATTCTAAGCTGGGCATGGTGGCTCACACCTATAATCCCAACACTTTGGGAGGCTGAAACAGGAGGATCCCTTGAACTCAGGAGTTCCCTAGCCTGGGCAATATAGTGAGACCCCATCTCTTAAAAAAAAAAAAGGTGTGGTGGTGCATGCCTGTGGTCCTACTACTTGGGAGGCTGAGGCAGGAGGATTGCTTGAGCCTGGGAGGTCAAGGCTAAGGTGCGCTGTGATCATGCCATGTACTCCAGCTAGGTGACAGAGTGAAGAAAGAAATTGGCCTAGAAATTTTCACTGAAACCTGGCACAGGCTTATCCTTTTTTTTTTTTTTTTTTGCTGGCCAGTGGTGGGGGGGTGGAGAGTGGGGATGGAGTTTCCCTCTTGTTGCCCAGGCTGAAGTGCAATGGTGCGATCTCAGCTCACTGCAACCTCCGCCTCCCAGGTTCAAGCAATTCTCCTGCCTCAGCCTCCCGAGCAGCTGGGATTACAGGCATGTGCCACGATGCCTGGCTAATTTTGTATTTTTAGTAGAGACGGGCTTTCTCCATGTTGGTCAGGCTGGTCTCACACTCCCGACCTCAGGTGATCCGCCCACCTTGGCCTCCCAAAGTCCAAAGTGCTAGGATTACAGGTGTGAGCCACTGCACCCAGCTCTAGTCTTACCCATTTTTATAGTAGTGTTCAAATTTGTATTGACAAAGGGGTGTGGGGGTGTGTGTGTGTGTGTGTGTGTGTGAGAATGAATGAATGACATGAGTGATATGTGTACTTACTTGTTTTGGTGGCTAGTCTAAAAGTTGTGTATTTTAAGACAAAAATGTATTTGTCACAATATTTATATTGATTATTAAATTTCTTTAAGATTTATTTACTTCTGCTCTGATACCTTAGGGTCTGCTACAGCAATCTATAAATTTTTTGTTGTAATATCTCTTGAGGATTGCAGTAAGATCCAAGTGAGTGGTCAATTTGTGTGTGTGTGTGTGTGTGTGTGTATGTATGTATGTATTTGTACTCCAAATGCTGTAAGGTGTAGGAAGAATCATTCTGCTTTTTTCTTTCTTCCTCTTTTAACTATTATAAAATATTTTCATTTTATTTGTTTTCTACTAGTAAATTATTCCTTCTTAAATTAAAATTTGCATGGACTAGAAATAGCTCATTTTATGTTATGTCAGTTTTCAACTACCTTACAGTATACACATTATAAAAACAGATTTCTTGTAGTACAGAATACAACCCAGCATCTGATTAGGTACAGATTTTCATGTGGAGGATGTTTTCTTGAAATAGATTTTTGCCTTATCTCATTCCATCTTTTGGGCATTGAAAAGAGCACTTTGGTCTTTTAACTCTATAATATACTATTCTTCCCATCACTGTAAAAAATTGATGCATGGGTAAAAATATCTTTTTTATATTGCAAATAAATTGAGCTTGTTATAGTCCCCTCTCTTCATTTTCAGGAAGAGGCAGAAATCCAGGCAGAACTTGAACGTTTGGAAAGAGTCAGAAATCTTCACATACGTGAGCTGAAAAGAATAAACAATGAAGATAATTCACAGTAAGTCATTATTTGCATTTCACAGTTTTATATTATTAAAACTCCTCCTCCCCTCCCCGCCCCGTAGAGAGCGTAAACACAATATTTCCTTCTTGGGTTGTCTCATCGTACTTAGAAAAGATCCAAAGTCGTTCCCATGGCTTGGAAGGCCTTTTATGATCTGGTCCCGGGCCACCTAACTGTCCTCACGTCTCTTAAACATGTCAAGGGCATTCCCATCTCAGTGAGCTTTTGTGCTTACCATTTCCTCCGCCTGGATGTTCCTCCTCTAAACACCTAATTGGCTTAATTACTTATCTCACTCCAAATGTTCTTTAGAAAGGCCATTCTTAGACCACCGTATTTAAAATAGTAGTCCCTAGCCAGGCCCAGTGTTGCTCACCTGTAGTTCTAGCTACTCAGGAGGCTAAGGTAGGAGGATTGCTTTGGCCAGGAGTTCAAAACCAGCCTCGTCAACATAGTGAGACCCCCATTTCTTAAAAAAAAAAACAAAACCAATCTCTGCCTCTTCATATTCTCTTTTAGTATTGTTACCTTGCTTTACATTTTCACAATGTTGATCACTATCTGAAATTATAAATTTATTTTGTAGTTATTGTCTCCTCCCTCTAGAATGTAAGCTTCATGAGTGCAAGGACTTGGTTTTGTTGTTGCTGTATCCATAAAGCCTAGACCAGTGCCTGACATATGGCAGGCACTTAACAAATATTTGAATACCAAAGTTAATGTTATAGTAGTGCAGGAGAACTTATTTCAACCAAAAGTATTTCAGTAAGCCATGTGTCCCACATTATGCAAGAATTGGGAGAGAAATGGAAAAGTAGAAGTTACAGTCTGTATTCTTAATCGGTTGTCAGAATGAGTGCCATAGACAGTACATGTTGAAGCAATTGAAAGAAAAGAAAATATCTGTGGGCTTGTGGGAGCTTCATGAAAAAGATAGAAATTGAGCAAGACGTAGAAGTAGAAATTAAGCAAGGTACTACTTGGATTTAGCTGATGTAAAAGAGAGGAAAGGTTTCTGTTTACACTTCATCTTTAAGACTATTCATGTAGTTTAAAGCTTCATGAGTTAATACAAGTATCAGAATAGGAAGTGGCCAATTTCTGAGTGAAATAAAATCTTGCTTAGAAAGGCCTTCTTGTGATGTCTATGTATGTGTGTAATTCAGAAATACACAGATCATTCCATTGTGTGCAGGGAAAGAAATAATATAGTTATGGAATAACCTAAATTATGTCAGATTAAAATTCTAATGAAAGCCAGGTGTGCTGGCTTACGCCTGTAATCCTTGCACTTTGGGAGGCCAATGCAAGCAAATTACTTGAGCCCAGGAGTCGAAAACGAGCCTGAGCAAGGTGGAAAAACCCTGTCTCTACAAAAAATACAAAACTTAGCAGGGAATGGTGGCATGCACCTGTTGTCGCAGCTACTTGGCAGACTGAGGTGGGAGGATCGCCTGAGCCTGGGATGTTGAGCCTGCAGTGAGCCTAGATTGCACTCCAGCCTGAGTGATAAAGTGAGACTTTGTCTCAAAAAAAAAAAAAAAAAGCGAGGGGCCAGGTGTGGTGGCTCACGCCTGTAATCCCAGCACTTTGGGAGGCTGAGGTGGGCGGATCACTTGAGGTTAGGAGTTCGAGACCAGCCTGGCCAACATGGTGAAACCCCATCTCTACTAAAAATAAAAAAACTAGCCGGGCATTGTGGTGGGCACCTGTAATCCCAGCTAGTTGGGAGGGCTGAGGCAGGAGAATCACTTGAACCCAAGAGGCGGAGGTTGCGCCACAGCACTCCAGCCTGGGCAACAGAGCAAGACTCTGTCAAAAAAAAAAAGTGAGACTCTGTCTAAAAAAGAAAATCTAATAGAGCATATGGTACAAAACTAATTTAAGACTAACTGTTCTGAAAATTACATTTCAAATTTTGTGGATCTGACTTAACATTGATGAAAATAAAATCAACTCTTACAGCTTTACAGTGTGGCTTGAAACGAAGCAGAAATTTCTTATATCTACAAGTTTCTCAGGAAAAAGCTTAAATTACTTAATCTGTAGTCAATTGATTTTGAAAAAAAATAATAAAATACAATGTATTTTGGCCGGGCGTGTTGGCTCCTGCCTGTAATCGCAGCACTTTGGGAGGCCGAGGCAGGGGGATCACGAGGCCAGGAGTTCGAGACCAGCCTGGCCAATATGGTGAAACCCTGTCTTTATTAAAAATACAAAAATTAGCTGGGCATGGTGGCACATGCCTACTGTAGTCCTAACTAATCGGGAGGCTGAGGCAGAAGAATTGCTTTAACCCAGGAGGCGGAGGCTGCAGTGAGCCTACATGAGCCAAAGCGAGTCTCTGTCTCAAAACAAACAAACAAAAAAAGCAGTGTGTTAGCATTGTAAAGCTAACATTGGTTTTTTTTTTTTTTTTTTTGAAAGTGTACATTTTGGAACCATAATTTTCTGCTAAGTCCTGCCTTTTATTAGCCGTTAAGCAAGTTACTTAACTTCTCTTTGCAGCAGTACCTTCATTTATAAAATAGACATAGTTATAAGACCTACCTCATAGGGTGAGTTGAAAACTGAGTGAGTTAATACAGGTAAGAGCATACAACACATAAGTTGAACATCCCAATTTTGGAAATCTGAAATGTAAACTGCTCTGAAATCTGAAAATTTTTGAGCACTGACATGACATTCAAAGGTCATGCACAAAGGAAATGCTCATTGGAGCATTTCAGATTTTGGATTTTCAGATTAAGGACGCTCAGTTGGCAGTATCCTAAAATAAAATTAAAAAAAAAAAAAAATCCAAAATCGGAAACACTTCTGGTTCCAGGTATTTCAGTAAGGGATACTCAGCCTATATATGGCAAGTACGATAAATACTAAATAGTAATAGTGGTAGTATTACCTATGAGTGATTTTTTTTTTAATTTTAAAAAATCTTTTTAAAAATTGGTGGTTAATTTATTTTACAAAAGTCCAAAGACAGTAAAATTTAATGATGGCCAGTTTATAATTGTGTTTAATCATATGTCCATACTGTAAAATATTGATTAATTATAACTCCCAATATAAAAGTCTGTTTTTTCCAGAGAAGTGATTCATGCTGAGTACATAAAGGATTTTATGAAGCTCTTGGCAATGCAGTAATTGTTAGGTCTTTGTGAGAGTGCTATAATTGGTCATTGATCCTGAATATTGAGCTATAAAAGTTAAGTTTTGTGAGCACCAAAGCTTTAAGATGGGTGGTAGTTGTGCAGGTAGACTGGTAGAGAATGAAAAGAAATATTGAATGAAATTTGAAATTAGCAGTGGAGTAACTGAGAAATAAATAGCTAGGAGTAGAATAAGAGAGTAGAACTTCAATGTAGAAGGAATTTTTGTGTGTGTGTTTTAATATGTCTGTTTTTTCCCCTCACCCATAAGGTTCAAAGATCACCCAACATTAAATGAAAGATATTTATTACTTCATCTACTTGGTAGAGGTGGCTTTAGTGAAGTATATAAGGTAATGTAAATTTTATTCTGATTTTTACACTAATGTAGCAAGGATATAGGAGTATGTGGTTAAGAAGTAATTATGTTGGCTGGGCATGGTGGCTCACACATGTAACCCTAGGGCTTTGGGAGATGGGAGGGTGCCTGAGGCCAGGAGTTTGAGACCAACCTGGGCAACATAGTGAGACCTCGTCTCTACTAAAAAAAAAAAAAATTAGCCAGTTGTGGAGGCGCACACATGTAGCCCCAGCTACTAGGAGGCTGAGGTGGGAGTATCTCAGAGTCCAGAAATTCATGGCCACAATAAGCTATGATTGCACCACTGCACTCTAGTCTGGGTGACACAGCAAGACCCTGTCTCCAAAAAAAAAAAAAAAAAAAAAAGAGGTACTTGTCTTTTGTTTATCGATTATATGTCCTCATTACAAAAAAAGGGTTTGTTGTGGCTTCTGTTGTCTTCTTTCCAGAATCCGAAGACTGCCACCTGCACAGTCCCTGTGATATTTGATACCTAGTCACCATTAACCAGTCCAATACAAAGAGTAACAGCTATTTAAATCAAGATAGGCAGGTAGCCATTTAATACAGTACACTTGTAGAAAGATTGTACCCCTTAATTTAAAAACGTCTGAAGTATTAACATGTCCTGAATTTATCCAAATTTCTACCTATGTCAAGTCTGTTTCTCAAATGCGTATGTATAAATGTAGGCATTTTTACTCCCCATGTTCACTATTTTATACCTTTCTTTATTTTTTTGTACTTTACGTTGTATCTTTTAGTGTAACCTTTAAATATTGGATTCCTAAGGTCTCTTTTATCATTCTGTATTCTCTCTTAAGAAGGTTTTTATCCTCTTTCATTCACTGGGTTGTCTATTTGGTGTCACCCCCAGGTGATACACAGTTCACACTTTCTTTCTGAGCTCAGTACCTCAAAGTGTGTTTGTATACATGACTTACCTCATGTGGGTGCTTCGTAGGTACTGGAAACTCACATTTGAAATAGAAGTTGTCTTCCTCTCCTTTAAAATGCCTTTTAACACTGCGTCTGACTTCCCTGACTTCAGTATATAACATTGCCATTCATCTGTGTGGTCCCTCAAGTGAAAAAAACACAAAAACCATCGTATGCTCTTCTTTTCCCTTTATTCCCTTGCCCTCACATATTATAAGTCCCTAGTTCCTGCTATTATTAATGTCATTAAGTTCTCCTAATTCAGCCATGACCCTTCCCTTCTGTCTCTTAGCTCAAGGCTTCTTCTGGAACCTCATAGCTGATTGTCTTCTTTTGGGCGTTGCTTTTCTCAAGTCATTTTGTACACTGCAAATAGAGTAAACTTTTTATAAAAGGCAACCTGATCATCTGTCCTACTTAAAAGCGCCAGTAGCTTCCCATTTGCTCTTAGAATGAAGTCCTAGTGAAGGGTATATGCTCATCTTTAATTCCTCTAAACAGCTTCCCTGACCCTCTGCATCTTCTCAGATAGATTTGGTGTATTTGATAGTATTACAGATTCCTTGTAATACTTTGTGCTTCATTACATATTGGCATAGTTGGTTAAAAGCTTTGGTTCTGAAGCCATACAGCTAAGTTTAAATCCTGACTGCTATTGACTAATTTTATTAATTTGGGTTTATTATTTAAATCTCTGTCTCATGTCTCCTTCTGGGAATAGTAACAATACCTACATTATAGGGTTGTTGCAGTGATTAACTGAGTTGTCACATGTAAATCACATAGAACATCTAAGATAAGCTAATAAGATTATTAGAAATCTTGCCTGTTGGCCATGGCTTATACCTGTAATCTTAGCACTTTGTGGGGCCAAGGCAGGCAGATTGCCTGAACTCAGGAGTTTGAGACCAGTCTGGGCAACATGGTGAACCCCTGTTTCTACTAAAAATACAAAAAAAAGTAGCTCGGCATGATGGCACATGCCTGTAGTCCCAGCTACTTGGAGGCTGAGGCATGATAATTGCTTGAGCCTTAGAGGTGGGAGGTTGCAATGAGCCAAGATTGTGCTACTGCACTCCACGCTGGGGGACAGAGGGAGACACTTTCTCTCAGAAAAAAAAGGAATCCTGACTGTTGCATGGGTCAAAGACTATGCCCTTCTCGCTTCTGGTTCTGAGTTGGAAAAATGGGATTTAGATTAAGAGAACTTCAGTTTTGGTATCAGTTCAACCATGCACTATTTTTTGTTATTTTGTTAACTTAGATAAGCATTACATGTCAGGGTCCTCACCTTCCTCATTCATCAAAAGTGTTCTTTGAGCTCTCTTCCAATTCCTGTTTCTCTGATTCTAATAATAGTTTATCCTTAAGAACTTAATGGGTGAAGTAGGCTTAACATAAGGTAGAAAAGATTATCATGATAGTTCAGCTGGAATCTAAAAGTCACTAAAAGTGCAGTTAGCATTAGCGTGGCCTAAAAGTTGTTGAGCTTATGAACTTACCATGAGCCTTCATAACAGCCCTTTACCACTGCCTGGTTGTATTTTAAATAACTATTTTAGCCTCATAGGTAGGACTTTTGTAGAAGAGGCTTACATAGAGATTAGAAAGTGCAGATTGGGGCCCAGTGACTTGAACTTTCTATACTGACCTAAATACTAGTGACATCATTCTCTAAGCCCTTTAAAGCCCTTTCATGATTGCCAGGTCTGTTGGAAAACAGCCAGACAAAAAGCAGATTGTAAGTCAAGAAGTAAAGAGTTGTATTTTATACCAAGGTGGGAGATGTTGAGTCAGTTGCTGAGTGATTGCCATATTAATCTTATGGAAAGGTTTACTTCTACTCACCTGAAATCTTGGGAGGATGATGTGTTATATATAATTTATTATAATCAGTATACTCTGATAATAACTTTTTATTGGTTATATACTTAGTTTTTTCTTCAATTATCCTTTATTATGATTGCCTTTGAATTTAATTCTTTATAGATTTGTTCTGCCTTGTCCCTTACATAAACTTATTTTATTTTTATTCTTTTTAGTTTCTTTACACTTAACCTTTGATAATAATATGTAATTAGCTAATGTTTCTTGGCTGTACCATGTATTGTTCTAAACACCTCATATGTTTTACCCCATTTAATCCTCTCAATAACCCTAACTTTTGGGGCTCAGAGAGGGTATTAGCACAGAGTCACTCAGTTAATAAGCTAATCTGATTGCAAAGAGAGTATTCTTAACAACTGTATGCTGTATTATATCTCATCTCATACTTTTATAGTTTTGTACCAAAGTAGTCACTTTACTGTTTATCCCCTCCTGCTTATGTTTAGGTTAAATTGATGGGAGGGAATGGGGACCTTCTTTCTAATAAATACGTAAACTTTTAAGTGAAAGGGGCACCTTTCTGTATAAATCACAATAGAACCAAAATTATTAAATGTCTCTTTAATAGTATTCATTGTTTAAAAAAAAAACACAAGTCATATAAAGCTGTTAAAACACTGATCATTCTGTGTTTTTAATTTAAGAAATAGGCTGGTGATTTGAACAAATGAAGTATAAATTCTTTTTGAGACAACCAGGGAAAATTGAAGACAGGTTAGGTATTAGACGAGATTAAGGAATTATTACTGATGTAGTTAGGTGTGATAATGATATGTGGTTATTTTTATTTAAATACTGATGTGTTTACTAGGAGGAAATAATGTATTTGTTTTAATAATACTCTGGTTGAGGGGGTGGGATGCAAGGGTAGTAGGGAATAGATGAAACAAGAATGGCAAAATATTGGTAATTTTTGAAACTGGGTGGTGGGGCGTAAGGGCACATTATAGTAGTCTACTTTTGTATATGTTTGAACAGTTTTATAATAACTGTAGAATTTTTTTTCAACAGTTGGAAAAATAACTGTTAGGAACTATTTAATTTTTCTAAAAAGTGAAAAAGAAGTAGGGCATTGCTAGGAAAAGATAGATTTAAGAGGTTTTATCCGACCTAAAAAAAAGTGGTACAGTCTGTTTTCCTGGCTGCTTACTACCAGTGTAGAGGAATAAATCCATATTAAAAACCAATAATAGCTTTATTGTTTTATTTCTATTCAGTATATTGGCATTTATAAAATTTAATGTGAAAATTCACATTAAGGTTTTTTCTGATTTATTACCATGGAATTTCTGTCTTCTGATAATAAAAGTGTCATTGAACTATATATAGTCTTAGCAGAGAAGATAATTAATAATTGTAGGGTTTGTCCTAGTTCCATATAATTGCAAAAATTATCACCAAAATAAAAAACATCTCTTCAGGTATTCAATTGGTCTTTCATCTTAATTGTGTTTGACTTGAAATCCTAGGCTTTTGACCTATATGAACAAAGATATGCTGCTGTGAAGATACATCAGCTTAATAAAAGCTGGAGAGATGAGAAGAAAGAAAACTACCACAAGTAAATACTAATACTTTATGGTTTTTTTTAATTGAATATTTTTTGAATGGTCATGGAGAATTAATACACTGTCTTCCCGTAGACATGCCTGCAGAGAGTATAGAATACATAAAGAACTGGATCACCCCAGAATAGTTAAACTCTATGATTATTTCTCCTTGGATACAGATACGTAAGTGAATATTAAGGTTTAATTTTTAAGGAAGGATATGCTTACTCTGTCTTTCCCCATCCTGTGTTGATGATATAAATACTCTCCATTTCCCCATTGTGATTCTGAATTCTTGGATAATACTTATGTCTAATTTCTTTTCTCTTCTCTGTTGTAGGTTTTGTACAGTGTTAGAATACTGTGAAGGCAATGACTTGGATTTCTATCTGAAGCAACACAAGTTAATGTCAGAGAAAGAAGCTAGGTCTATTGTAATGCAGATTGTAAATGCACTAAGATATCTCAATGAGATCAAACCCCCTATTATACATTATGATCTTAAGCCAGGTAATTATGAAATTTGTCTAATTTTTTTTAAAACGAGTATAGTTTTTAAAAGTCATTAAGTTATCTGAAAACATGATTTTTGGTTTCACTTTTCAGACATCAGTAGAATACTAGTAAAATTTAAAGTTACTAAAGTTATGTTTTTCATGTATGTATCATTAAAATAATCTTATATTTTATTCTTAGGAAACATCCTACTGGTAGATGGAACAGCATGTGGTGAAATCAAAATCACTGATTTTGGTCTGTCCAAGATTATGGATGATGATAGCTATGGTGTAGATGGAATGGATCTAACTTCTCAGGGGGCAGGCACTTACTGGTAAGTATATTACTAAAAACATCAGAATGTCTAGATTAGTGCCCAGTGCTTTTATGATAAAATTTAGTTTTTTTTTTCCATGTGGCCATTAAGATTACTGTGGTAAAAGGTACTGATATTAAACTCTCAGTTGAGAGAGAGACTTCTGTGGTCATTCCTCTTCTCATCTGTTCTTACTGCAAATAACAGCATACTGGAGAGAGAATGACTTGGCATTAACAAGTGACTTCAGTACCTGCCAGTCAGAAACTCCTAACAGGAAGAATTCATTCATGGGTTTTCTTCTACAATGTTAAGGTGATGTTTATCATAAATATGAATACTTACGTTAATATAATATTTTAACTATTGCAAGCAAAAACTGCAAGCATCAAGCCCTCTCTGTGGAGGTTATATGGTTGCAGGGATTTTCGTTTTATTTTGAGACAGGGTCTTGCCCTATCACCCAGGCTGGAGTGCAGTGGTATAATCTTAGTTCACTGCAGCCTCAAACTCCTAGGCTCAAGCAATCCGCCCACTTACTCTTGAGTAACTGAGACCACAGGTACGCACCACTATGCCCAGCTAATCTACATTTTTTGTAGAGACAAGGTCTTAATTTGTTGCCCAGGCTGGTCTTGAACTCCTAGTATCAAGTGATCTGCCTCTCCCAAAGTGCTTGGATTAGAGGCATGAGCCACTGCACCTGCCTGGTGGTTTTTGTGGAAGATGGATGTTTTGTTGGTTGTGAATGGGAGATAAATTTGGCATATTCTTTGGACTTGACTTTCAGAAATTCCTTTTAAAGACTTAGTATGTATAGATTTAAATTTAAATATAATCACAGATTCATAGATACCAATCTAAATGACTGTCATCCCCCTCAGTATACCTACGTGTTCACAAAAACTGCTTCAGCGTGAATTTTCAAACTTGTTAAATTCACCAGAGTGGAGAACGTAAACTATAAAATTTCAAAACAAACTTAATTCTCAGAGAAAATTAGCATAAACAGTGACATTTTAATGGGAAGAAAGATAACTGCGTTCAAGTTCATTGAAACGAGATTGTGACTACGAACATAAATGTGACCTCAGGTTTTCCAGAACAGTGTTCACACAGCCTGAGCACATCATAACCAGTTACACATGATGCCGCTGGTCTGTATAGATATCACTTTTAATGAGCAGGGATTAGTCATATTCGTGTATTCTTTTAAAGCCACTTTAAAATTTTAAATTTGGCTTGTGGCATTTCCTAGGAACATGGATAAGATAAGAATGTCATGAATTTTTTATTCATATTTTAAGAAAACTATTCAAACTGCTAACCCCCTGAAAGTCAATATTCTCAAAGTCTTTGGACTTTTTTAGCAACAAGGCTCTTTTTTTTTTTTTAACAACAAAATCTTACTCTAATCAACAAAACCAACAAAAACAAAGCATCCTGGTAGATTCTTAGATTCCATGGAAGATAGCTTGAAAACCATGTTCTAAATAATAAATTATTCTTCCTCTATAGGACATTCTCAATATTTGTTTCTCTCTCACTCTGGCTTCACTAGTATAGGGAAGGACAAGGAAATTTCCCTTTTACAGATAGTCAAGAGACAAAGACCTTATGTTTTAGGGGCTGTACTGGAAGGAGATACAATGATGGCATTGTTATATAAGGACATGGAATGTATTTCTCAGGGAAATCTGTGGTCCAAAAATTGGTTTATGTCTACAGTTATATTAGTTGTTTAGCTGTGTACAGCTGACCTTGAATAAAATGGATTGGAAATGCATGGGTCCACTTTTATGTGGCTTTTTTTTTCGATAAATACATTGGAAAATTTTTTGGAGATTTGCAACAATTTGAAAAATCTCACTGACGAACCATGTAGCCTAGAAATATTGAAAAAATTGCCTGGAGGTGGTGGCTCACGCCTGTAATCCCAGCACTCTGGGAGACTGAGGTGGGCGGATCACTTGAGGTCAGGAGTTTGAGAACAGCCTGGCCAACGTGGTGAAACCTCGTCTCTACTAAAAATACTGAAAGTACAAAAGTTAGCTGGCCGTGGTGGCGCATGCCTGGAATCCCAGCTACTCGGGAGGCTGAGGCAGGAGAATTGCTCAAACCCGGGAGGCGGAGGTTGCAGTGAGCTGAGATCATACCACTGCACTCCTGCCTGGGCGACAGAGCAAGACTCTGTCTCAAAAAGAAAGAAAGAAAAAGAAAAAAAATACTGAAAACATTAAGAAAAAGATATGTCATGAAGGCATTAAATTAATGTAGACACTCATCTGTTTTATCATTTACTGCCGTAAAATGTACACAAATCTATTATAAGAAGTTAAAATTTATCAAAACATGTATACAAACACAGACTGTACCTGGTGCTATTTGCAGTTGAGAGAAATGTAAACAAAAGTAAAGATGCCGTATTAAATCATAATTTCATAAAATTAACTGTACCCATACTGTGTACTGTAATAATTTTGTAGCTATGTCTTGTTACTATTGTAAGGAGCTCAACTGTTTTGAATATCTGTTTAAAACATTGTGATGCTAATCTCCTCCATGTGAGCAATTAATCTCTCCAGTAAAAGGCCTATCAGAGTAAAAAGTAATCTCTCGTGATTCTCAAATATTTTTCATCATGCTTAGTGCAATATTGTCAACCTTGAATAACACCAGTAATGCTGGAAGTGCTCTTAAGAAGCAGAGAAAAATCATGACATTACAAGAAAAAGTTGAATTGCTTGATATGTACCATAGATTGAGGTATATAGTTTGGATTGAGGAATAGTTGCCCACCATTCCAAGATAAATGAATTCAACAAAAAGATCATTGTTTTAAAAAAAGAAATTTGTAAAGCTGTCTCTGCAGGTATGTCAGCAGGCACAGAAACCTTGTACTTTTTGCAAAACACCGTTTTGTCTCTAGTTGAAAATGCAAGCCGTGCATGGTGGCTCATGCCTGTAATGCCAGAACTTTTGGGAGGCTGAGGCAGACGAATCACTTGAGCCTGAGAGATGAAGATCAGCCTGCGCAACATGGCGAAAGCCCATCTCTACATAAACATACAAAAATTAGCCAAATGTGGTGGCACATGCCTGTAGCCCCAGCTACACAGGAGTCTGAGACAGGAGGATCATTGCTTGAGCCTGGGATGCGGAGATTGCAGTAAGCCCAGATTGCACCACAGCACTCCAGCCTGGGTAACAGAGTGAGAACCTGTCTCAAAAGAAAAGGACAAAGAAATGCAGCTTTTTGGGTGCATGATACCCATAGACTGTAATGTGATTTTAGAAAAAACAAAGAGATTATATGACAATTTTAAAGCAAAAGGAAGGTGAAGGATCTAAAGCTGGAGAATTTCATGCCTGTAAAGGATGGTTTAATAATTTTAGAAAGATGTTTGACTTTAAAAATGTCAATATAACAGGAGAAACAGCTCCCGCCACCCAAGAGTTCCCACATGTTATTAAGAAAACAATTGAGGCCGGGCGCAGTGGCTCACGCCTGTAATCCCAGCACTTTGTGAGGCCGAGGCGGGCGGATCACGAGGTCAAGAGATCGAGACCATCCTGGCCAATGGTGAAACCCCATCTCTACTAAAAATACAAAAATTAGCTAGGTGTGGTGGCACGTGCCTGTAGTCTCAGCTACTAGAGAGGCTGAGGCAGGAGAATTGCTTGAACCCAGGAGGCAGAGGTTGTAGTGAGTGAGATCACGCCACTGCACTCCAGCCTGGGCAACAGAGCAAGACTCGGTCTCATTCATGAATGAATGAATGAAACAGAAAAAATAATTGAGGAGAAAGGATAGCTGCCTGAACAGATAATTTAATGCAGACAGAAGTGCCTTATTCTAGAAAATAAAAATGTCACAGAGGACATTTATATTTGTAAGGAAGAGAAATTTGATTTGATACAGGAAGGGACAGGCTAACTTTGCTGTTTTATGCAAATACAGTTGGGTTTATGATCAGGACTGCCCTTATCTATAAAGCTGCTAACTCTGTAGCCTCAAACAGAAAAGATAAATACCAGCTGCCAGCCTTTTGCCTATACAACAAGGAGGCCTGGACAGTGAGAACCCTTTTTTTTGGGTTGGTTCCATCAGTGCTTTGTCCCTGAAGTCAGGAAGTACCTTGCCAATAAGGGACCACCTTTTAAAGTTCTTTGATACTGGACAATGCCCCTGGCCACCTAGTAGCCCATGAGTTTAACACTGAAGATATTGAAGCCATCTACTTGTTCTCAAACAAAACAATATCTCTAATTCAGCCTCTAGATCAAGAGGTCTTAAGGACCTTTAAGGCTCATTACACATGATACTCTATGGAAAGGATTGTCAGTGCTGTTAAAGAGGACCCCAGTAGAGAGAACATCATGAAAGTCTGCAAGGATTACATGACTGAAGATGTCATCATTGTTTTAGAAAAAGCCATGAAAGCCATCAAGCCTGAAAGAGTACATTCCTGCAAGAGAAAACCGTGTCCAGATGTTGCGTGTGACTTCACAGGATTTATGACAGAGGCAATCAAGGAAATCATGGAAGAGACTATAGATATGGCAAAGAAGGTGGGGTGAAGGGTTTCAAGATATGGATCTTGGAGAAATTCAAGAGCTAATAGACACCCCTCCAGAGGAGTTAAGGTGACTTGATGGAGATGAGTGCTTCCAAACTGGTACCAGATGATGAGAAAGAAGTAGTAGAAGAGACACTACCAGAAAACAAGTTGACATTAGACAGCCTGGCAGAAGGGTTTCTATTAGTCAAGACATTGCTTTTGACTTTTATGACATGGACCCTTCTATAATACAGGCACTGAAACTAAAGCAAATGGTGGAAGAAGGATTGATATTATATGAAAAAGCAAAACAAATTATGATGTATGTCTGTAAAGTTGCACTAAGTGTGTCTGTCTCCCCTTTCATCTCTTCCCCCTCTGCCACCCCTGAGACAGCAAAACTAACCCCTCCTCAGTCTACTCAACCTAAAGATGACAAGGATGAAAACTTTTGTCATAATCTACTTTCACTTAATGAGTAGTGATTTTCTCTTACGATTTTTCTTAATAGCAATTTTTTTCCTCTGGCTTACTATAAGAATTTGGTATATAATACTTACAGCATAGAAAATATGTGTTAATTAACTGCTCATGTTATCAGTAAGTCAACTTCCAGTCAACAGTGGGCTATTAGTAGTTAACGTTTTTTTTTTTTTTTTTTGACGGAGTCTTGCTCTGTCACCCAGGCTGGAGTGCAGTGGCACGGTCTCAGCTCACTGCAACCTCTGCCTCCCAGGTTCAAGCAATTCTCCTGCCTCAGCCTCCTGAGTAACTGGGATTACAGGCACCCGCCACCATGCCTGGCTAATTTTTTTGTATTTTTTGTAGAGACAGGGTTTCACCATGTTGGCCAGGCTAGTCTTGAACTGCTGACCTGGTGATCCACCCGCCTCGGCCTCCCAAAGTGCTGAGATTACAGGCCTGAGCCACCACACCCAGCCTAGTAGTTAACTTTTTAACTTTTTAGGGAGAGTCAAAAGTTAGACATGTGGCCAGGCACGGTGGCTGACTCATGCCTCTGATCCCAGCAGGAAGACCACTTGAGCCCAGGAGTTGAAGACCAGCCTGGGCAACATAGCAAGACCTTGTCTGTATACATTTTTTTAAAAAATTAGCCAGGCATGGTGGTGTGTGCCTGTGGTCCAGCTAATTGGGAGGCTAAAGTGGGAGAATCGCTTGAGCGTGGGAGATCGAGGCTGCAGTGAGCTGTGATCGCACCACTGCACTCCAGCCTGGGCAACACAGTGAGACACGGTCTCAAAAAAATAAATAAATAAAAATCATACATGGATTCTTAACTGCATGGGTCAGTGCCTCCAACCCTTATATTGTTCAGGGGTCAACTGTATTTGATATGTTTGGATAGCACTGTACATACTCGTGTATTTTAGAATATACATCTAATATTGCTCTTATAAATTACCTTTCATCCTCACAAGCTTAAAATATTTAGTTTTGTCTCTCTGGTCTCAAATTCTGGTGGACATCTTTTCCCAAGTTACTTTGACATCAATTTCTGTGGTTGCTCTCCTTGCATGCATACACCTCGTGCCTGGAGAGAGTATAGCTTAATGTTTACAAGCCATTCCTGTTTCAGTTACACACATAGACACCTGCATAAAATATACACTTTTATTGATAAGATAAATCCAGCTTTTTACTACATTACAAGTGAGTTATTGGTTATCTTTGATAGTTTTACTTCAAGGAAGTTTCATGTGTTTTTTAAGAGATCTGTCAACATCCTGTTGAAATCTTACTGATTTTAGCATAGTGAATACAAAACTGCATTTTAAAAAAATAGAGTAAATTCCCATTTAGCAACATTATTCCTTTTGAGAATTTTAAGTTTATCTAAATTTTTTGAGTTGTGAGATGCTTGCATCCCTGATGGATCTTTTACTTATAACTGGAGATGACAGATTGATTTTTACCCTTCATCTATTAACAATTATGAACTGGCTTAGTGCGGTGGCTCATGCCTGTAGTCCTAGCACTTTGTGAGGCCAAGGCGGGCAGATCACCAGCTTGGTCAACAGTGCAAGACTATCACTACAAAGAAGAAAATATTAGCTGGGTGTGCTGGTGCACGTCTGTAGTCCCAGCATTCCGGAGGCTAAGGTGAGAGGATCACGCGAGCCCAGGAGTGTGAGGCTGCAGTGAGCTATTAGCGTAACACTGTACTCCAGCCTGGGTGACAGAGTGGGACCCTGTATCAAAAAAAATTATGAACTTATAAATAGGACATAGATATTTTTAAAATAGTAATTTTGAATATCCATTGTGTTTCAGACACTGCTAGTGCTTGAAACTGCGCAGTGTATAAGTTCCTGGAGCTGCTCACAGTCTGGTGTGATTGTAGTTGAATGCCGTAATAGAGGCATTGCACCATTCTGCAGTAACACGGAGAAAAGCAGAGCCACCTGGGGAGAAGCAAAAACGGCTTATGGGGATTGGGTGGGTCTTGAAGAAGAAAAGATGCTAAGTAATTGGAGTGATTAGGGAAGGAGTAGTGATTGTCATATTCAAGAGCTCGGAGGATAAAGGAGAGCCGAGTGAGGACGCAAGTGAATTGGTTTTGATTAGCCAATTTGGTGGGTTAGGGTGGGGGAATTTAGTGTGTGCAGATTTTGAAAATGTATGTTGTTGCCAGATTAGCATGGGTCTTGTGTTACAAACAAGAGATACAAAAACAAGAGATACAAGGTCTTGTTGGCAGTAAGTGCTGTCGAGGTTGTTTGAACAAAAGAACCACATGATCTGGTGTATATTTTAGGGAGAGAAGTGCCTACAGTTTGAACAGTAGTTAAAGAGGATGGGAGAGGATTTCTTCTATTATTAGATACTCCAAATTAGACCATTGTAATCTCTCTTAAGTTTTTGTTTCTGTAGGTAGGTAGGTAGGTAGGTAGGTAGGCAGGCAGATTAGATAGATAGATAGATAGATAGATAGATAGATAGATAGATAGATAGATAGATAAGATAGATTAGATAGATAGATAGATAGATAGATAGATAGATAGATAGGATAGAGGTGAACTTTATCACAATGTTGTATGTGTTGGCTCTAGAGTTAAATGATAAAAGAATGTAAATGCTCCAGAAGTTCAGTTGATGATTTTCACTGATGGGAGTCCTAGAGTTTATGTATGGATAAAATTAGTGTTCTAAGATTTTACACTTAGAAGATTTTAAGTTACAGATTGTCAGTAGTAACCTTTCCTTTTTTCTCTCCCACAAAACTTATAGGTATTTACCTCCTGAGTGTTTTGTAGTTGGAAAAGAGCCACCAAAGATTTCCAACAAGGTTGATGTATGGTCAGTTGGAGTCATCTTCTTTCAGTGTCTTTATGGTAGAAAGGTAAATTCAATTCTGCTAGCCTTCAGCTATACATTGATAAATTAAGTTGAATTTTTCCTTCTTAAAAGCAAAATTTCACTAACTCAAAGTCAATTTAAATCCTTCTAAAGAAAGCCAGGCTTCTCCTCTATTTCTTCCTAAACTTTCCATGGATCAGAATTTACTTTAATGTCACACCAGTTTACTTGACCTGCTTTTTGCTTTCTTTCCCTTTTTTAAAGAAAAGAAGTAACTATCTGTTAACATGCTAATATTTGTCTACCATTGGGAATACTGGAGTCAATACTTTTCATTGTCCACTATTCACTTGACCTCCTCTTACACCCCCCACCCCACCCACACACACAGTTTGGCCTGGGTGGTCTGTTTCCCCCTGTTGCTTGTCAGGGAGATACCATCAAAGTTAGTCTTAATTATTTCCCAACATTTTTATATTGAAGTTGGAAGTACAGGTTACCATAGATATTATCTAGCCCACATCCCACCCCATCCCTTCATCAATAGGGGAAGAGAGGTTAAGGGATTTGTGTGGGATCGCCTCACTCCACATCCAGAGCTCCTTCATTTAAATTCGCCTGTGATACACAAAGTATTTGATCTTTGGAAATTGTCATAGGTATTTTCATTACTACTTCATCTCTTCTCTAATTGAACTTCATTGTTTAAGCATTCAGAATAAAGTTTTAAATTTCTTTTTATGTTTTTATCTTATATTGCAACAGCATTATTTTCTTCTTCTTACAGTGTTTAATCTATGTTGAAGATTGATTAGATAGGCTTTCTTGGCCTGCTATCAATTATACCTTGTTTGTATGAGAATTCATCTCAGGTTTCAAATAACTGAGGAAAATTTTGGAACACAAAATATTTGGATTTTGGATTTTGGGAATTCGCTTAGACAGAAATGATATCTGTGTTTAAATATTTTGTGAGAAAAATATCTCAACCTTTAATTTTTTTTTTTTAAGCCATTTGGTCACAATCAGTCTCAACAAGACATTCTTCAAGAAAATACAATATTAAAAGCCACAGAAGTCCAGTTCCCTGTAAAACCTGTTGTAAGCAGTGAAGCCAAGGTATTAAATTTTTGTAAATGAGTTTTGTGAAGTAACTTTTCTTTCATCAGTTTTGCTGACAACAAGGTAAGTACTTTCCAATTGTAAGTAAAGTCACAAGACTCGCTGCTGCAGGGGATCTGTCCAGCAGGAGCTGGTGATTTACTTTCAGAAAAGGAGTTGCATCAGCCTCTGGTTGCTACAGTTTTTATCTTTTAAGCAGCCAAATATGGTCCCTATTGTCTGTGTTCATCAGCTGCTACTTTGAAAATTAGGGAAAAATCACAAGATCTGGGCTCATCATTACCTTTTATGTATTATGTATCTGCTTATGTTAATACTGAGATATTATAAGTATATAAGAAATATTAAAAGTAATAATAGGGCCGGGCGTGGTAGCTCACACCTGTAATCTCAGCACTTTGAGAGGCCAAGGCGGGCAGATCATCTGCCGTCAGGAGTTTGAGACCAGCCTGACCAATATGGTGAAACCCCATCTCTACTAAAAATACAAAAAGTAGCTGGGCATGGTGGCACATGCCTGTAATCCCAGCTACTGGGGAGGCTGAGGCAGGAGAATCACTTGAATCTGGGAGGTGGAGGTTACAGTGAGCTGAGATCACGCCATTGCACTCCAGCCTGGGTGACAGAGCGAGACTCCGTCTCAAAAAAGAAAGAAAAAAAAAGTAATAAATACCATTTATTTTAGTGCTTTTATATACATTATCTTGTAACAGCCTTATGAGGTGTAGGTACTTTTGTTATTCCCATTTTATAAAAGAAGAGAACAGCCATGCCATGGCAAAAGGACCTTGTTCAGGATCATACCGGCTAGGAGGCAGCAGAGCTGCGGCTCACAAGTATCTACTCCTCCAGACTCCAAAGTCCACAGCCTTGACCTCTGTACTGCTCTGTATTAGCTCTTGAGAGCTAATCCAGTATAATCCATATGTCTGTATAATAAAATTACAGGAAATAGCTATTTCTAATTAATAGCAAAACTTTTTTGGTGTTCAGTATCTTCCTGCCTTCATCCTATTGGCCTTTTGTGTTTGTGTTTTTATTACTCCTCTGTTGCATTCATCACAAAGCTCTTTTCTCTGTGACTTGCTGTTGTAGGCTTCTCTTTTCTAAACCTGGTCAAATTCATAAGACAAACCCAAGAAGCTCCTATTTTTTTCTTGTGTGAATAGTGCAGGCCATAAGAATAATTCATAAACAAACACTATATAGTTTCTATATTCTCTTATTCTTACATAGTGCAGATACATACTGTGAGATGTTTGGGGTCGTAGTAACCTACCTAATTGAAAATATGCTGAGTTTTGTGTAATCTCACTGATTGTGTTTATTAGAACTGTCCAGCATTCCATTTTGTCTATCTTTATTGGTTTTTTGTAAATTATTTGAATGGTGGTTAGAACATTTTGACAATTAAAAAGATAAATATAGGCCAGGCATGGTGGCTTACACTTGTAATCCCAGCTCTTTGGGAGGACAAGGCAAGATGATCACTTGAGGCCAAGAGTTCAGGAACAGCCTGGGCTGTAACATAGGGAGACCCCATCTCTTAAAAAAAAAAGGCGGGGGCTAGGCTTAGTAGCTTATGCTATAATCTCAACACTCTGGAGGCAGAGGTGGTTGCTTGAGCCCTGGGGTTCAAGACCAGCCTGACCAACATGGCAAAACCTGGTCTCTACCAAAAATACAAAAATTAGCCAGTCATTGTGGTACACACCTACAGTCCGAGCTGCTTGGGAGTCTGAGGTGGAAGGATCACCTGAGCTCAGAAAGGTCAAGACTGCAGTGAGCCATGATGATACTGCTGCACTCCAAACTGGGGGACAGAGCGAGACTCTGTCTCAAAAAAACAAATAGGCTAGGCGCAGTGGCTCACACCTGTAATCCCAGCAATTTAGGAGGCCTAGGCAGGCAGATTGCCTGAGCCCAGGAGTTCGAGACCAGCCTGAGCGACATGGTGAAACCCCATCTCTACTAAAATTACAAAAATCGGCTGGGCGTGGTGGCTCACGCCTGTAATCCCAGCACTCTGGGAGGCCGAGGTGGGCAGATCACGAGGTCAGGAGATCGAGACCATCCTGGCTAATACAGTGAAACCCCGTCTCTACTAAAAATGCAAAAAATTAGCTGGGCGTGGCAGCACGGGCGCCTGTAGTCCCAGCTACTTGGGAGGCTGAGGCAGGAGAATGGCGTGAACCCAGGAGGCAAAAAAAAGAAAAAAAAATACAAAAATTAGCACGGTGTAGGGGCCTGTGCCTTTAGTTTCAGCTTCTGAGGATGCTGAGCTGGGAGGATCGCTTGAGACTAAGAGGTAGAGGTTGCAGTAAGGTGAGATTGCACCACTGCACTCCAGCATGGGTGACAGAGCAAGACCCTGTCTCGAAAAAACAAACAAAAGAGATAAATATTCTTATTTTAAAGCAAAATGAATTATTTTTGTAAGATAAACATGACTGCTTTAAAAAATACTTTAACTGTGCTAGCATCTAAATCTTGTCTTATTTTCTGTCTGTAGCCTCATTGAGAACAGAAATTAAATGAATTTAGTTGACCCAAGATCTGTTTTTTTCATACTGACCAAAAAGGCCAGGAGGAATGGAGTTGCTAAAGGCAAAGTCTCATTTAGCCATTCCTGGTTCTCTTCTTAGGCTCTTTATAGGTGCCACAGTCACCTTTTTGAGATCTGGAATCCAGGAAGGGTTAAGGGGTTGTTGGGGGGATATAATATTAATAAGATACAGTTGTATAATATATATCATAATATTTTAATGTAATATATAATATCTCTATATTCTGTATCCCTACAGAAGATACCTTTGCCGAGTATGTTTCCTGACTTGGTGTGGGCATCTTTAAGTACATTACTTGTTGCAGACTTCTTAATCTTAACCTTGCTATTGATAGCCTTTCCACCCCTCAAACTCTAACATATCAGTCTTGATGTTTTTTCTCCCTCTTAATCATTTTTCAGAGTGATCTCTGAAATTTTGTTAAAGATAAAAAAGATAAGACCTCTAAGGGATCAGATTGACTTCTGATAAACAGTAAGCTATGGTAAAATTAGAATAGCTAGTATATTTTTAGAGAAAAATAGACTTCTAATGAATTTCAAAGCAAAGAAACTACAAAGTAGTTACTTTTTAATGTGATTATACTTCTGTTTAGTGGTATGTATTAATTTCTAGTGTCAGCAATAAGAAAGGGAAACAATTACCAGTTACCTCCTGAGAATATTTTATCTGTTGTCACCTCCCCCCCAAAAAAAGGATGAACCTCAAAGTTTAATATTAAGTGAAAGAGGCCTGGCAAAGGAGAACATAATTTGTAATTCTATTTATATAAAATTCAAAACAATCAAAACTTAACTGTGGTGTTAGAAGTCAAGATAAAGGTTACCCAGGTTCGACTGGGGACAGAGCCAGTGCCTGGAAGTGAGCATGAGGGGGATTCAGAGGTTCTTTTTCTTGATCTGGTTGCCAGTTACATAGATGTATTTACTTTGTGCTGTGCACTTACGATTTGTGTGCATCTCTAAAAATGTGTTACACTTCAAGAAAGGTTTTATTTGTAAGAGGCTATTCTCAAAAACTAAGTAAAATTGGTTTGAGAAAAAAAAAATGTGATTATATTCCATTTATTTAGCTTTTCCAGGAGTGTAATGATGCATAGGGTTAACCTGGGAAACAATATCCCTAATGGAAGTGTCACTTCAGTGGTCTCTTCATCTAAAGAAAGTCTTTATGTCAGTAGGAAAAAATATTATGGCTGAAAATGGCATCTTACCCTTTGCTAAACTGAAGTGATAACAAAATGGGATGAGGGTGGGAGGACTGTTTAGCAGAAGAAAAATGCTAGAAAAGGAAGTCTTCAGAATTTCGTAAGCAGAAATAACTTTCCAGTATAAGTTCAAATGGTTGCAGTAGTAATTTAGACTGTAAAGTGAACCACTGCAGGGACTTCAAGTGGTGAGTTGCATTTGGAGTGAGAATTTTATTGCTGCAGAATTTTCTTTTAAGGTTTGAACTTCCAATAAAATGAGATCTACTTATGTCTTAAATGTGTCCATCCTTCTGTTGATTCAGTTGATTGATATTTAGAAGGGAAAAAGATCATTAATTGCTGACTTTTTCTTTCTCTTTTTGAGGCCTTTATAAGACGCTGTTTGGCATATCGAAAAGAAGATCGATTTGATGTGCACCAGCTGGCAAATGACCCATACCTTCTCCCACACATGAGAAGATCAAATTCTTCAGGAAACCTACACATGGCTGGGCTGACAGCATCCCCTACGCCCCCTTCTTCAAGCATAATTACTTACTGACTTTCCTCCAAGATTGGCATGATATCTTTGAATTGCTTCCAGATGCACACTTGAGTTTGAGAGCATTTGAGTGTTTTTTTTTTGTTGTTTTTTTTTTGTTTTTTTTTTACACAAGACATGGTTAAGAACTGTTTGTGAACTGAAGTTCCTCATAGTATCATTTGTATGAGAGTGGATCATGGACAATGAATAAATGCACACTTCTGACTATAATTTTGAGCAGTGAACGATGACTGCCTGTTACAAAGAAACAGGAATACCATGTTAAGATAGAAGAAAAAACTTTTGTTTATTTGGGGGAACACTGTAAATAACGTTTATAATAGTTAAATACATTTGGTTGTTACTAGAGAGTTCTAATATGAAGGGTAGTTTTTCATTATTTAAAAACACATGGAAAAATAAGAGACATATTTCTAACATACGAACTATAGTGCCTGGATACATTCTTCAGCATTTGGCAGTTAATCTGCTGAAACCAAAGTAAGAACTGAATGACAGTGACAGTTGTGTTTTATAGTAATAGAATGTGAGAGTTAGAATCTTTGGACAAAGTTAGGCTTTGTCATTTGCCTATTCTGGCTTTTACCAAGTTGTACCTCGAGATCACATGTCCGTTTTCTTTCACTGGTTATATTAAAGGGAGAGCTATTATTTCTAAATACTTTACACTTTTGACAAAATGAGCTGCTTGTTTTGAAATCAGTTGAATTCACTAAATTATAATATTGCCAGTGTTTTCAACGTGTTAGAATTGATAACAGGTATTTTTCTTTTGTTACCAGGCCTTGTTCATCAAAACAGGTGACAGTATGTAACCAAATGCAGACCAGTTCTATGCAGGATAATGATAAATTCCCTTCTAGCTCTATTGTAAATTGTTGTACAGATGTCATATTTCAATTACTAAGTTTCAGCAGCTTATTCTTGTACAAATGTTTAAAATATGGCTTTTCTAATTGGATATTGTATTTTTTTTAAGTCTTCTTGAAGGCGCTCTAATTGCTGCTAAATGATGTTGCTTCTTTGCTAAAAAAATTAAATGACCTAGAAGGTGCAAGTTGACTGTACATCATAGAGAGATATTAAAAAGCATACAGTCATTAACAATCAAGACGTAAAAGTGATCCATGTTGGACATAATTGAGTTTTTTAAATCAGTTTATTGGGTTCTAGGGCTGTGGAGCACATAGATACTAGATTTATAATTTGTTCATGGTTATTCTGCATTTCTAGAAAGTTCATATCAGCAAGATGGTCCCATAAACAAATTTCTTGTGGTTTGTACAGATTTGTTAAAATGTGAACATTTTCTAACTGCCTTGTAGGGTAGAAACCATATTTTTCAGGATGCTGTATTTCACTCCTGTAAGGACTTTTTCTTTATTGTCACATTCATAATGCTGATACTTACATGTAAGTTGTTCATGTTGCAGAAAAAGGAGGTTATACTTACCACGGATTCTCTTTAATATTGTACAGTTAAACTGTATTTCTGATGTTGCAAGCCATTTTGTTTTTTCATTGTACATAGACACATTGTCTCTTTAAAATGCTGCTGAAATTGTAGAGAATATAGCCAAAACAGTAATAAACAATGACAGTTAAAATGTAAAGACTATGAAAATGACATTGGAAGGGAGCTTTCAAGATGGTAGGATATTGACTGACTGAGCTCCTTTACTTAAAAATCAGCTGAATAAATTCCTTAAGTATACTTCAAGACAAGTGTAAATTGTTTCAAGCTGTTAAAGTTAAACCTAATAACCATTATCAAGGCAACTCCTGGGTAAGTAACACTTAGAACTATCAAGAGTGGTTTAAGGGGCCGGCTATACCCATTCCTCTGTAGAGCAGATAGAAATCCTATTTAAAAAAATACTACACGGTAATGAAATCTTAGCATTGATTGAGTGCTTTAGGTGCTGCCTGCAAGTTTTCAGTTTTGTTGTTGGAGTTTTCATCTTTATGAATTATAAAGTCCTGTGTTCATAAAGTAACATTTCAATTCCTGAACTAAAAGAAAATGCCCAGTTTGCTTAAAATTTTGGGGAGATACGAAGTTAATGTGTAAATCTAACTTTGAGGTTCAATCAGTTTAATAGTATAGACCTAGAGATCACTGCTTTACCATTTTACTTTCAAATGAGTGAGAGCGACTGCTAGTGTCAGAACGCAGGAAAGGGGAAGAACAAGCCATGAAATGAAGTTGCTTTCTTGACCTGGGTTTAGGTCATCATTTTTAAATCAAAGATGTATAGGAGATGAATCAACTTACAGACCCATGTTTTCCTTCTAAAAGTTTCCCAAAGAAATGTTATAGATTTTGAATAACATGCCAGTGATCCAGCAGGTCCAAGATGGCTAATTGAGCCACATTGAATAACTTACTTTTACCCTCACATGGAAAGTTGGTATCTATTGCTAAATGATTTCAAGGTCACTCTGACAGTCTTTGACACTACTATTTTTTTAGGCTTTGATTGTTTTCTAGTCTCCTGGTGTCTGTCCTCAGAATTAAAGCGTGTCCTACATCCCTAAGATAAGAGCCAAGGCCTCTTTTAAGAGTCAGCACTGATACAGCGTAAAATCTATGGTTTTGCATATGATTTAAAAAAATCTTTCTTTGATTTGAATTTGCTTTAGTGTGTACATGTTGAGAGGAAGTAAGTGTAGAAACCACCCTAATTTGTAAGTGGGGAGTTGGAGATACTTGGTAGTTTTTCAAAAATACTCAATCTTTTTTTTCCCTTTTCTTTTTAACACTCACTGCCACCTCCTTCTAAAACAACTCTGTCAGTTTAAGTGGCATATAAAATGTGAACAAACACCTCATTACATGAAGTCAAAATGGTGTAGAGCTTCAGTGAAACATCTGAAGAGTATATTATGTGTTGTTTTGCTGTTCATCATTACTTATTAAATGCAGTAATGTTGATTGCCCTCATGCCATTGTGTATTAGTGGTAAACAGTACAGTTCACCTAGATTGGTTTTTTTTTTCTGTTTACAACCTAGATTGTTAATGTACTCATAAAATTTAATTACATTGCTGTTTGATTTTTGTGTGAATGTTATAACCTTAACTTACACATTTAAAAGCCCATTGACAGGTCTTTCTCTAATTCTGCCTTACGTTTTGTCCTGTTATCTGATGATTTTTCTTCTACATATATATACTAAATTTCAGTGTTCTGAAGATTTAATCTAATTCAAAAAGTGCTTTTAGGCCGGCAGTGATGGCTCATACCTATAATCCCGGCACTTTGGGAGGCCGAGGCAGGCAAATCATTTGAGGTCAGGAGTTGGAGACCACCAGCCTGACCAACATGGTGAAACTCCATCTCTACTAAAAGTACAAAAAAATTAGCCAGGCGTGGTGGTGTGTACCTGTAATCTCAGCTACTCAGGAGGCTGAGGCAGGAGTTTTACTTGAACCCCAGAGGTGCAGGTTGTAGTGAGCCGAGATCACACTACTGCACTCCAGCCTGGGTGACAGGCTTAAAAATAAATAAATAAGTAAAGTACTTTTAGCAGCTAGTTTTAGAATTAAATTGAAATTCTAGTTCCTGTGTTTCAGTTCATTCTGCAGCAATTTTAGAATTTGTATAACTTGTTTTTCAATTTAAATTAGATGTATTTCCTACAACAAAAACATCTCCATTTACCTTCCCCTACTTTCCCTTCATTCCTTTTCTCTTTTGTGAGGATTCCCTACCTTCCCTCCTCCGCTCCATCCCCGGGAATTCTATAATTTTTGAAAGGGAAAGATTTGAGTAAATGTGTTTAAATCAACCTTTAAAGTTATTTGCAGAGAGCCAGAGAATGGGGTGGAAGAGTTATTTATAGTTAGGACAAAAATGCATGGCTTTCACCTGGAAATCTTCATTTGTCTAAAATAATAGGGATGTGGATTATCTACACACATATGACTGGTTTTGGTTTTGTTTGAGGCACGGTTTCACTCTGTCACCCAGGCTGGAGTGCAGTGGCGCCATCTCGGCTCACTGCAACCTCTGCCTCCTGGGCTCAAGCTGGGACTACAGGCGTGTGCCACCACGCTCAGCTAATTTTGTACTTTTTGTAGAGATGAGGTGTCACCATGTTGCCCAGGCTGGTCTTGAACTCCTGGGCTCAGGTGACCTACCTGCCTGGGCCTCCTAAAGTGCTGGGATTACAGGTGTGAGCCACGGTGCCTGGGCCATATGACTGTTTTAAGAAGAGCAATAAAATAGGTTAAGATATCAATTTTTTTGAACCAGAGTCTTTGGATTAAAATGTTGACTAACATTTACTACCTGTGTTTCTGGTTCCTCATCTGAAAATTAGGAGTGATAACTACCCATCGTGCAGAGTGACTGCAAGGAAGGAATAAGTGAATTCACGAATGTAACACACTCAACCTTGCCCAGCTCACAGTAGGTACTGTATCTGATAAGCTGCTATTGTCATCCCTTTTTAAAACTCCAAGATTATTCTGTTAGCCCTATTTATAAAATTCAGTCTGCTTTGCTTCCTGTGGTAATTTTAATTATTTTAAGAAATAACTTTCACAGTGCTTGACTGAGGTTTCAAACAAGTGATGATTCGATTGTCTGGAAATGGAAGGTGAGGAAATGTAGCAATTTGAAACAAAAAGTAGTAGCTGTGTGTGTGAACTAATTGCCAAAAGGACCATGCCCTATTGGTGCTGTTTCCTCACAGATATCTGTCATATTTTCCAGAGTTTCCTTGCCAGTAACAGCTGATTGAGGTAGGACAGATGACAGTATCCGTGTTTTACAAAGGAGGAGACAGATTTGGAGGGGGGAATAACTTGCTAAAGCTGCATAACTAGTAAGCACAGCTTTTGGAGCCTTGGAGCAAGGTTCTTAACTATGTTAACATCTTAGTATATAGTAAACATGGCTTAGTGAGTTAAATCTCATCATGACTCTTCAAAGGTGACAGCCAAATGGCTACAAACATTATTGTCATCTTTTTAAAAGAGCAAATCTAAAGGTTTTTTTTTTTTTTTTGAAACAGGGTCTCTGTTTCAAAAAAAACTGTCACTCTGTCACTCAGGCTGGAGTGCAGTGATGCAGCCTCAGCTTACTGCAGCCTTGACCTCCCGGGCTCAAGCCATCCTCCCACCTCAGCCTCCCAAGTAGCTGGGGCTACAGGTTCATGACAGCATATCCGGCTACTTTTTTTGTATTTTTTGCAGGGGCTCACCGTGTTGCCCAGGCTGGTCTCAAACTCCTGGGCCAAGTGATCCACCCACTTCAAAGTGCTAGAATTACACGCCTGCCCTACGAATGTTTTCAGTGTTAGATGAAGAATGAGTCACTAGAGAGCAGACCCCTGCCACAGACCCATTCTAGGTAAGATGGAGAGTGGGTTGCACCTTTTTCTGTTCTTACATCTTTTTCCCTTGCATTTTTAGTCAAAGATCAGGTCCATCGATGAGCTACCCCATTCCACCTGTCTTACAGAAAGTACCTCACGGAGGTCTTCTTCTGCCCACTGTCACAGGCACAGAAAGTACACCTGGCTCCTCTTCCTGCAGTGGTACCAGTTGGTTTAAAAAAAAAAAAAGTCGGGCGCAGTGGATCATGCCTGTAATCCCGAAACTTTGGCAGGCCGAGGTGGGTGGATCACCAGTGGTCGGGAGTTCGAGACCAGCCTGACCAACATGGAGAAACCCTGTCTCTACTAAAAACACAAAATTAGCCAGGCGTGGTGGTGCATACCTATAGTCCCAGGTACTCAGGCGGCTAAGGCAGGAGAAACGCTTGAACCCGGGAGGCAGAGGTTGTGGTGAGCTGAGATTATGCCATTGCACTCCAGCCTGGGCAACAAGAACAAAACTCCGTCCCCCACAAAAAAAAAGTTTAACTGACTCTAGTAAGTCAGTAACTCCTCTAAAGGAAGTCCTGAAACTTTGGAGAGAGATTTCACTAATTACCAGTTCACCAATATATGGCCCCTGAACATTGTATCTCGAAGTCTTCTGAATCTGATGAAATTACCTATGTGTAGTGTTCTACCACCAAGATCACAAATGGGTACTTCTGATTGCATCAGGTGACTCTACTTGGGTTTAAAATTTCTGTATGTAATTATGTTTAAGATTCTCTATGTGATCCATTTTCACCTGAAAGACCTTAGATTGTTCCCAGAACTATATGCCTTGGGTCAAATAGTGTATGTGCACGACCAGCATCCCACCTGTTCTTGATTGGGTGTGTGGTATGTCACAAGGGTACTAAGGTCTTACTTCTATTATATGACAGACATCAAACTCAGATACTAAAATTACCTGATCCGAAGAATGAGCATGACTGATTTGTCACTAATATTAGTCATGTTTTTGGTGTTTCAAATGATCTTACGTCATATTGCATCCTAAGAGCATCTCTTTATGTCCGCTACTTGCCAAATTCATAACTTCCTCTTGAGATATTTAGAAAGATGAAAGTGGAAGAAAGCATGGGTTTGGAAGTCTGACCTGGCTTTGCCTCCCAGCTTTGTTACTTAATAACATGTGACCTTACAGAAATCACTAACCTTTCTGGGGTCTTATTTTCCTTGTCTGTAAACTGTTTCAATAGCACCTGCCTCATGGGAACTAAGAGTGGGGCTCAGTTGTTTTCCCAACTTATAATGGCACGGGCTGCAACAAAATGGAACAAATGCCACAGACGCAGAAGACAGATTCAAGAGGCCCCTATCAGAGGGTCATTATGTGTTTTGTATTTTTGGGGGGTTGGACCTGAGAATGGTTGGGAGATGTGAGGAGGAGTTGCTCAGGAGACTTGGCAGCAGTCTCCTACCTACTGGCTTGGAAGTTTTCTGTATTTAACCCATGTCTGTGCGTAACTGCTTAGTCTGAGCCCTGCCTGTCTTCTTGGCTGTGGCACGCTCTTTAATGCCTCCTTTCCCCACTCCAGTACACACAGCTGTTGTAGAAGTGTGCATGTCCACCAAGGCGGAACAGGACTGCTGCAGGTTGGGCTCCCAACTAGTCTGTGTTTTCATCACTTTGGGGATGCTGTTTAGATCCCAAGAGTGTTTATGTTGAAACCGCTATGAAAATTAAACACTATTGTGGTTTCTGAACTAATGTAACAAAATTTATTGATACTTTGACAATGAATTTTAACTTCATTAGTAGGAATGAATATACACATACATACATATATTTTAAGGAGTTTTGCTGGAGTACAGTGGCAGCTCACTGCAACCTCCGCCTCCTGGGTACAAGTGATTCTCCTGCCTCAGCCTCCCGAGTAGCTGGGATTACAGGCATGTGCCACCATGCCAGGCTAATTTTTATATTTTCAGTAGAGATGGGGTTTCACCATCTTGGCCAGGCTGGTCTTGAACTCCTGACCTCAGGATCCACCCACCTCGGCCTCCCAAAGTGCTGGGACTACAGGCGTGAGCCACCGCATCCGGCCATAGTAGAAATATTTTTAAAGTTTAATTTCTGTGAGCTTCCTTCCCAGAAGTATAGACTATGTATGTACCTAGCTTTTAGTGAAAAAGCTTTAAAAGAAATTCAGCTTGGAAGAATGAGATCATGTATTTTTCTAGATGCAGAATTAGCCATGTAGCAACCAAGTTTGTATGAGAAACTTTACACTTAAGCAACATGAGTTATTTGTCTTATGTCAATAGCATTTTAGTATTCAAACATATTTACCCTTACATTTGACTAGAAGAATACGTGCTTTGTAGTTTTGGGGGGTGAAATACCGTTTAGGGGAATGAAGCTATGCTAAAGTG